GGAACATCCAATGGAGCATCATCTGGAGCATCAAATGAATCTGGAACATCCAATGGAGCATTATCTGGAGCATCCAATCAATCGGGCACATCCAATGGATTTAATGACATATGGGGTGATCTGAAAGACGGTGGCAAGAGTATTATCGAAGGACTAAGGAATGCAACTCAGGATGGCGCTGCCATTAACAAGGACCTTCTAGACCAGCTAGGCAGTGCGAATGAAAATTTCTTGAAGGATGCATCGCAACTAGGGAAAGATATATCTAATGGATTATCGGAATCGTTAACAACAGGCATTAAGGACTTATCGCAAAACCTGACTTCCAGTATTACGAGGTTCAAACAAAATGTTGCTACTGAAAAGAACCCAATAAAGCGTAAGGCACTGAGCAGTGGACTGGAAGTGCTTGAGCAGCTCAACACAGTAGCCACGGATCTAAAGCATCATCATTTTGATATAAATCAGAAGCTCGCGAAGAAAGTAAATGATCAACTAGCTGAAATACCGAACGAAGTGCTAAGCTGGAGTAAGGAACAACTGGATCGCGTGGAAAATGCTTCCGATGAAACTGGCCTGAAGCAAGCGCAAGACATTATTACAAAGTTCATATCAAGCTTCTCTGAGGATCTAAATGCCGTACTGGTAGAGCTCGATGTTAAAAAGTCCTTGTATGAACAAAAGTTGAACGACAAAATCCACGAATATAGTGAATTCGTCAGGAAACTTATTGAGGACATGAACAGTTGCAGTGGTATCAGCATCTTTAAATGCAGATCACTGATTGAGGAATCAATGGAGAACCTGCGGAATGCGAAAGCTGACTTGCTGAATTTACTGACGGAAGGCAACACTTTGGTCGAAGCGGGAGTAAACGCTACAGTATCCATCGAATCGCTCATCAAAAATTTGGCCGAGAATAAACTTAAATTCGAAAAGGATCTTGTTGACATCATTGCCCGCAATCCAAGCTCAACTGATGCTAACGGAGGATCGTCCGGATCCAATGAAGCATCATCTGGGGCATCCAATGGATCATC